AAGGTTTGTTAAAAAGACGCGCACACACACACACACACACACACACACACACAATCTTCATGAACACAAGTACAACATTCCTGGAGGTCCTAAAACAACATTTAAACAAATATTAATCTATACTGAGTCAGAACGTCAGATGGTGTAAATTGGTACAACTGTGTTGATTTTCACCAGCTGAAAATAGGGCCCCTTATCCTCAAGGGATGCTAAATAGAATTTACCTTTTTATAGAACGATAAATTAAAAAGCCCCCAGAAGTCTCTTAAAACTTTCATATCTCAAAAATTCATAATTTATTTTTAAAACTAAACTACACTAACTAGATAACACTTTTGCTCAGCTAATTAATATTTTGATTTAAGAAGTCTGAGTTATGCAAACAGAAATATCTTTGAACATGCTTTTATAATTTTAAATGTATAAACTAATTTCTCTCCAAACTGGTTTCTCACACATCTAGTTACACTAGAATGATTTAAGACTAACTAGTACTCCAGCAATCAGGGTTTATTATGAAAATGCCCATAGACCTAAAATGATAGCTGTTCTTTAAATAGTATTTGTGTTCTCCAATTCAGTAGCACTAGAATAATACACAGAAGAACCTTTTTCACTGTGTAATTTTCACAACTACTACTAAACACATCAGTCACATTACTTACAGAGAACACATTATTTATAGTGTTTCTTTACACTGGCTGGATAGTGTTTCGTTACACTGGCTGGTCTACTCAAAGTATTTATTGTTTAAAAATTATGTTTCAGACTAAGAAGTACCCTGCAGAATTTGAGAACAGGATCCAGACTTCAAGTCACAAAGCTGTACTTTGGGGCTTTTGGTACCAACTGTAACAAGAAAAACAAGACAATGTAAAAAAACCCCAACTCTTAACAAGGAATAAAAAGTCTAACAAGTCTAACTACAAAGATATAAAGAAACTATCAGCTTCATAAGATTTCACACACATTTGAACTGATAAAATTACCAAATAGATTTTTAAAAATGTATTGCAACTACAATAGATTTATATTTTCAAAGTTTCTGCATACAATTCTACTAAATTTCCCACATTAACAACATACTTAAAGGTTGTTGGGCAGGAGTTCTCAAACTTCCTTTGCGACAACAAAAATTATTACAAGACCGCAGGAGGAGGGACCAAAACCTGAGCCCTGCTGCCCCAGGTGTGGGGACCAAAGTCAAAACCCAAGCCCCACCACCCCAGGCAGGGTGGCCAAAGCCAAAGCCTAAGGGCTTCAGCCCCAGGCAGGAGGCCTATAACCTGAGCCCTGCTACCCAGGACAGGTGTCTTCAGGTTTTGGCTTTGGACCCAGGCCCCAGCAAGTCTAATCCAGCCCTGGCGACCCCATTGAAACAGGGCTGGACCCACTTTGGGGTCCCAACCCACAATTTGAAAACCGCTGTTATAGGGGAAACAAGGCTGCTCTTTTTTCTAAATTTATGAATTAAGAATATTGCCCCTTCTCTAAAGAATTTTTTTATTAATAGACAACAGTAAATACATACAGTATACAGTACACATTCAACTCCAATAGATCTCAAGACCAAATACTGATTTAGCTGCATTAATCTGAGTTGTGTGTATTTAGAAACACTAGCTGAACCATGCAAACTCGGTGGTGCGTGGTTTACTCATTTCAGAAATGCAAAGGGGGTACTTTCCTTTCATAAACAGTATAAGCCCAAATTAAGTGATTTTATTTAAAAAATGACCTCAGTTTTACGAAGTCTGATATTATTTGCTTGAAAATAGACAAGACTGTTGCACAGGTAAAAAGTCATTGAAAAATAAAGCTAGTTTTTAATCATTTGCCTCTTACTACAACCCAAATATAGATAGGAACTTCTTAAAAACGTATACATACCTGCTATTAAGCAGTGCTTGGTAGCAACTGGAGACATATGATGGCTATAAACTGTTCCCTCAAAATTAAACACATCTGCAGGCTGGTAATTAAAAGAAAACATCTATCAGTTTTGCCCCTTGATTAATATCATAATGAGAATTTGAATCTTCTTTAAAATTGTTAAGCATTTTTCAAGTTAGAGTTACTGTTTACAAGGCTGCTCACATGCTCTACTGACTAAGTGCTTAATCATGCAAATAGTCATGCTATCAGAACTAGACATTTAGCACTGGCAGGTCATGGAGCTAACATGGCAAAGAGTACTAAAGCCTGGAAGAAAATGCTCTGATTACAGTGACAAGGGGGGAAAAGGGGAGTAAGAAAAAAAAGCAAGGAAGAAGGTGGGGGTATGGAAATGGAAATCAGTGATAATAGGAAAGAGAGCTAATACCTCTTGTAATCACATACAAAACATGCTACCTCAAAAAACAAAGGATATAAACAAAAGGCAATAGTGAGTGGCTAAATTGAAGTGTCACCTTAATTTTAAAGTTGGTCCCTTATTTTATATATTTTTCTCCCCATTTTCTGTTGGGACTCAAGAGCTATGTTGACAAGTTCCTGAAATCACCTCTGTTTTATTGTTTACATACTAAAATATAAGCCACCAAATACACATTATGTGCAAGAAGACTGATAATATTACCATTAAGAACCTTGACTTTTCAAATTTCCTTACCAGTGTCCTCAATTTTTCAACATCAGTGCTGCATTATTGTCACGGTTCCTGAATTGTTTAGTACTGTGTCCCCCTTATCGATATTTTAAAGCTTGGTGGCTCCTCACAACCAAATAAGAACATGAGTTTGGACCGTTTTGTGATTTTATTCAACTACATACTGTTTGTTTATTACATAATCTGGTCTAATCTGGGTTTTTAAAACTATAATTTGAAAATGTGGATTTTTTGGCATGACTAGACGCAGCCTAAGATTTTATTGGGAAGAACAGAGCTGTTTCAAACTACATAGTTGTGCAATGTTTTATTGAATCTCTGATAGCGCCAGTCATTTTAGACATTTAAATTACTTCTGTGTTTAGTTTTCACAAAAATTGTTGCTGACTACTTAAGACTCAGAGAAAACTGGAAGTGAAAGGAAGCAGCACTTTCATAGCTATACCACAGAGTTCTTGGCGCTCTCTCAACAGAAATCCAGAATTCCTGGTCTGTAAGATTTGAAAACTTGGCCTTCTGAATAAGATCTCTTGACAATTCTAATATTTTTTTAAGTTGAGATAATAAAGGTTGGAATGGATTCAAATGTTAGTGAGAAGGGGTTTCGAATCCAGAGATTCATGTTCAATTCCAGGAAAATATTCATCAAAATAGGAATATTATCCAAACAAAAAACCTTGCAGTCCCTTCTGACCCTATGATTCCATAAATGAGTTAATATTTGGTCTTTAATAGCATTTTTATCACTTTCACTCTATTTAAAAAGTTTTAGAACACTGGAAACATCTCAGTAATTTCCTTTTCAACATGGCACCTCCAGACAATGCTTGTTCATGAATCCCCCAATTTTATGTTTCATATCTAGTATATTTGTATTCCTACCTTGAAGTGTTCGGCTCAGTGCATTTAATTTGCCTGATATATCCACCAGGTAAGCTAATGTAGTCAAGAAATCCATATTATTCATGTTATCTGCAAGATCTGTTTTCCCAAGAAGAAAATTTCTGATTTTGCCAGGCAATTCAAAGATGTATTCTAACACTTTCCCATGAGATAACCACATGACTTTACCGTGAAACGGAAGCTGAGTATGGTTACAGCCTATCTCTTTGCACACTAAAACACTGTGTGTTCACTGCCTGGGATTTCATAAAATTAACACCACTACTGAAGGCCTATGTACTTCAGGACACAACTTTTTCAATGCTGATGCCCGGTGATGAATCATTCAGTGTGTCCAAATGATGCCACTTTCTTTACTCGTGCTGCAACCCCACTGTTCTTACCGGCCATAGCTGCTGCCTCACCACACAGCACAGCACACCTCACAGTGTCCAATTAACACCTTCATCCACCATGAATTTATCAAGGATCTTGAATATTTCCTCACTGGTTGTTCAGGGTTTCTTTGCAAAATAAAAATTCTTCAACTATTGAATTTGCTTTGACAAATCTCATACAACACAGAAACTGAGTCAGTGGATTCATCAAACTATGGTGAAAAATATTGACTTCTTCACTTGTTCTACCAACTGGTCCTAAACATTTTCTGCAAGGTCATCAGTGCATCAATGGATAGTATCATTTGACATGGGAATGGTTTTCAGTGCCATGACTGCTTGTTCCCCAATTTAATTTTTCATATGACTATTGCTGGTGGAAGTGGAAGTGTCTTGCCAACAGTGTGTGCCTGCTTGCATTTTGTAATTCACATGGGTATAACACAAGATGAGCCTAAGGCTTTTGAAGAACAGTTGCTTCTTTAGACATGACTTCGTTTGTTTTTACTCTTCTGGTTTCTGAAAGTAAACAAGAGCCCCAAACTTTTCTAATTCCAGGGGTTTAGTTTCTAAATGTCTCTGTAGTTTCCCTGGCTTCATACTTTCATTTACTAACACTTGAAAACAAAGGCCACATTGTGGCTGTGAAGTTTCTGCAGTAATACTGAGACACAAAATCCAAACAGAGTAACTATCATCATATTGCCTACTTTTCCTCCTTTTCTGTTTAACTTTATTAAAATCTTCATCTTCAGCTGAAGATTTGCCACATGTAAGGCTTAGTACTTGGTCAAAATCATTCTATTATAAAGAAAAGACCTCTCTCTCCCTCCACCCCTCAACCATCTGCTAGTGCCAGAAGAGTGGGCAGGGAGCCCCCTTTGCCCTCTGTACCACCAAGGGCTTTCAGCCAAGAGGCTTCCTGCTGAATCCTTCCTTCAGCAGGAAGTCTCTCTGGTGAAGGTCCCCTGCAGGAGCAGAGGGCACAACAGGCTTCCAGCCTAACAACAGCAGCATATAAAACACAGATCCATTTAAGCCTAGCTAAATATTAAGCTGTAAATCAGCCTAATAGGGGATTTTTAAGCCTAGTTAATAGTCTAATTAGAAACAAACAAAAATGGGCATTATTGATTAAAATTCCCCCCCCCCCCCCCAACACTGAGGGCTCCCGCATGAACTTTCATGGTTCACCAAGGAAGCCACAGCTCATGGTTTGGGAAGCACTGGTTTAATGTGAGGGTTTATGTTCAGTGGCACACTGTGTCCTTCTGACATTTTAACAATTATGAAGTACAACAGTTTAAATTTCAGGGGGTAGCCGTGTTAGTCTGTATCTACAAAAACAACAAGGAGTCTGGTGGCACCTTAAAGACTAACAGATTTATTTGGGCATAAGCTTTCGTGGGTAAAAATCTCACTTCTTCAGATGCAGCTTAAATTTACAGTTTAAATTTGGGACTTCATCTTTAAAGTTGTGGACAATGTAAGGTAATTTCATTTTTGTTATGTTTCCTTTTTTTAAAAATAGTTTAAAATTGCTTTTTATTTTAAAGAATGAACTCAAATGTTTTGGATATATACCGTTTTGTAGCAGTTTGTACACCAAATGTCCTTTATATACTGTTTTTGTAACTCATTCTAAGAGGATGGTCTAAAGCAGTATCTGGTTCTTGCTAAGCACACAACACACTTTAAACAACAAAACAGCAACACTACCTCCTCCCTCCACAAAAACAAAGCTATACATCTCAACATTACACTTTTAAAAAGGTTTAGAAAATAATAATTTTCACATCTCATTTAAGCATAGAAATATTGCCTTGAGATGACAGAATCTCCAGTTTTCATGATCTTCCCACCTTAATGTATGAGGCAATATTCTTGGCAAACAAACAATGTCAATGTAAGGCCACTGATACATGAAATAAAAGAGATTAACCACAGTCCAAAATTCATATATCAGCTATTAGAGGACAGAATTTAGTAGCAGATTAATAGATGTAATATGTAAACTTTATTTAAGTCATGACAAATTGGTTAGTGTTTCTCCTCATGGTTTCCCTCGTTCTATTGTTTTAAGCTTATAAAATCCTCTCACACAAATATAGCAAAAGGTTTAAACCATCAAAGACAATGTTCATATTGTTTATAATTATAACAAATGTGCTCCCATAGTACACTACCCATGCTACGCAAATAAGATGATAACCAACAATTAATATTGTTCAATAAGTGTTCAACACCTCAGGAGAAATAAATTATGCTCTCAGACCAGTTGTTGCTGGACAAATGTACATACTACAAAGTCTATCATCACAAGTCACATTCTTATTGGCAGGCTAAGCAGAAAAACCAAGCAATCACGAAGACTCTGAACTACCATATTATGGGTAACATATAAGTGGTTTCTAAAACAAGGCTGAAGCATGCTGGCAAGTATGGGAGTGCCTAAACTTCTGCCCTTGTATTCCGTACCTACAGTTTTGAATGCTACCAACCTGACATTTTTCATCCTTCAAAATGCTGAGCAACTCTCACTGAGCTCAGTGGGAATTTCAGAAACACTACCCCTTAAAACTGGTGCTCAGTATATCCCAAGGTCGAGTGCATAAGAAGTTATGAAAATGATTAGAAATGACTTACTTGTAATGTGTTTGTATCCCATATTTTCAGTGTTTTATCAAATGAGCTTGATGTAAACATGCCAGTGTCACGAGGGTACCATTGAACTGTCTCTACGCTGAATTTGTGTACATCAGGATGGCTTCTATAATACAATAATAGAATTGCACTGGTTAGGGTCAGCAGTGTATTTTTGATTTGATACTAGTTGACCAAGGTTGTTTTTTTTTTAAATTATTATTATTAAACTACTGGGTCTAAGTTTTCAAAAGCAACCATGTAGCGAGGCGGTGGGATACCCCACAGCCCTGCTGAGGGCGGAACCTCCCCAATACCAACGTGGGCGGAGCCACCGGGTCCGGCGCCCGCCCCTCAGAGGTCACAGCCCCGACCTGGAAGTATAAAAGCCCACCTGCAGAGCTCAGTGGAGCCCAGGCCAGACGTCTGTGGTCGAGCTCCCGCTTGGGAAACAGCAGCAGGCCGCAACCAGCCTGCTGACTCACCGGGCCAGTCGAGCCTGCCCCGTGCCAGGTACCCCGAGGAAGAGCTGAGCCTGCCCTTCGCTACCTACCCAGAGGAGCCAATGCTGGTGGAGAGCACCGACAACACTAAGACGGCCCAGGTACCATACGAGGGGGAGTGTGGAAGTAGCCCAGGGGCAGCCGACCCCAGTCTGGCTGCTGCACTGCCAGAGGCGATGTCGGTGTATTGCAGCCAGGATCCCCACTGACAGCAGCGAGTTTCTGTTGCTGCTAGGGCCCCGGGCTGGGACGTAGTGGAGTGGGAGGGCCTGTGTCCCCCCCTGCCACCCACTCCTTGGGTGGCAGACTCCCCCCTTTTTCCCTGGCCTAGAGAGGCTGGGGGCTGCTACAAACCCTGACCCAGTCCCTTGCTTAAAGGCCTGGGTTACTGACTATTTGCTTGCTGCCCCGCCCTGACCTAGGGCCTGGGCTGCTACAAACCCCGACCCAGCCCCTGCTTAAGGGCCTGGGCCTTTGATTGACTATTTGCTTGCTGCCCCGCCCTGACTTAGGGCCTGGGCTGCTATAGACTTTGTCTCAGCCCTTGCTTAAGGGCCTGCGTCCTGACCTCTTGGCTCAGCCCCTGCTTACGGGCCTGAGCCCTTAACTGTGGGTCTGCGGTCCCAGACTGCCGCCGGACCAGAGTGAGGCGGTGGGATACCCCACAGCCCCGCTGAGGGCCGAACCTCGGCCCAAAACTACTACAGACCAGTAATTTTGGTGCCTCAATTTCTGAGTGACCAATCTGAGCCCCCTTGAGGGTGATTTTCAGAAAGTGCTGATCATCTGCCCTCTCAAAACCAAGCTATTTTGATGTGTCTCAAGTTGGGCACCCAAATATTGACACCAAAATCTGTAGTCACTCTTGAAAATGTAGGCTTTGACATTTAACTATTATTTTAGGGCCTGACTCTACAAATAGTTATGACCCTGTTGAGTTCTGCTGACTTAAATGGGACTCCATATTATATGCACAAGTTTGCAGGATTGGGGTCTTTAACAATTATTTGCTAATGGTAATGTTAAATCTCAACTATGACTTAAGTGCCACAAAATTTTACTATTTTGGTATGTTGCTAACCACAGTCTTTGTTCCAGTAGTAATCTAGGTCAGATAACACTTCAGGGAATTTAGATAGTATCTTGCAACACAGGTCTTGTTTGATTTCATCTTCACAGACTCCTAAATACATTTCAATTTAATGAGATCTTGAGAATTGGTGAACTATTTAAGATAGCATATTAGAATCTCTAGTGGTTGTTGAGGAACTATAATTGGATCTCTGCTCCTATTAGTATCCTTATCGCTAAGAGTCTCATCCCTTTTAGATGTTTCCAAAGCTCACTGTCATTACAAGTGAACTCAGGAAAATAAAATTGCAGGGATCAAGCTTTAGAACAATCGTGAAGTGGCAAGCTTCAGGACTCTAAGATACTCTCCATCAAGTCCATATGTAGATGTATCATAGCATTAAAATACAGAGGAGAATATCTGTCTTTGCTACAGCACAGAATCACTCAGTGGAGCTGTACAGTTAGGTGAAGTGTACAATCCGAAATTTCCTCTCCCTCTGAAGCCATCTCTTAGTTTAAACACTTAAGCCATTCTCTGTCTGCTGAGAAAAATCTGTCCTATTAGAACCAGTCTCTGCTGTGCTAGGCAGTGCCTTGTCTTACAGTAGGTAGATGTCTTTAGTAAAAATCACAATCTGAAGCAGATTCACAGGGCTCAGAATCTATAGTTCATTTTGACCAGGAGATGAAAATGGAAGCACAGGTTTAATCTTTCAAATATTTGCAAGCCGTTAAGAGTCATATCTTCAAGAAAAATTATCACAGTGCTTAGGTCCTTTGTGATCTCCAAGCTGGATTGCCACAATGCAATTTATTCAGGGCTCCCCTTGACAAATAGAAATTACAACGCTGTAAAACACAGCAGCCCAAGTACTAAAGGCTCTTGTCTTCTTCTTAATGGCAGGCAGTTAATAATTGGCTTGTGATGTCCTGAATCAGGAAGAGAGATAATTATTTCCCTGGCTATTTTAACTCCAGATATTTTAATTATCTATAATTCATATAGATTTCTAATATATTTAATAATACTAGACTCTTTGCCTCATTTTAATTCTCTTTTGTAAAAATGTATTTCCTATTGTATCATTGGGTAGAGTCTAATGAATAAGATTAAGTTTTACTATTAGTGTTTAAAGCTGGAAATAATAAGGGATGTATCTATCGGAGAAAGTGCCTGTTGTGGAAACAGACTGACATCCATCTAAAAGTACAGTCTTGATGTGGCCATAAACAGGGTCTTCAGCTATGGAATATTCCACTGAATCTTGACACACACTAAGAAGCGTAATGATGGCATTGTTCAAGGCTAGATTCAGAATTATTCTCTTATTTAATGTTTTATGTGGTTAGTGTGTATTATGTAATTGTTATGTTTAAGAGTTTGTTCCAATTCTGGGATTTATTCACTTAATGTTAATTATCACTTTAGTTTGTCCAGACACCCATAAGGATGGACACCTAGAGACTGCAGGTTATTAACAGTATCTGTACCGCGTTTTGATGCATTCTCTAGCATCTTTTTCTGTTCCTGTCACAATTTAGGCCTTTCTGCTGTTGTAGGTAATCTTTGCTGCAGTAGTCAATGCTGTATCTAGTTCACATACCCAGCTTCTAGGCCTCAAACACCCAGCCATGGGAATAAGGGGAAAGGGTACTGTAGCGGGGCGGCCTGGCTTCCAGGCGCCCCAGGAAGCGATGAGCCAGAAAAGCCGCCAGAGTGGGCGGAGCCACCGCGGCCTGTCCCCGCCCCCCGGAAGTCAAGGGGCGGGACAGGAAGTATAAAGGCCAGGCCCCAGCGCTCAGTAGCTGGCCGGCAGTGGG